AAAAAAAAAAAAAAGAAAAAAAAAGAAAAGGAAGGAAGTAAAGGAAGGAAGGAAGGAATTATAAAATATTTCTTGTTACCTTATAGCTAAAGTTCCCATCTAGTATTACAGATTTAACAGCTTATTCTCTTTCTGAACTCACATTTTAATCCTGAAAACAACCATGGGGCTAACACAGTCCTGAAGGACAGGATGGACCTTCTCCAGCTCCCTACACCTGAATAGTAAATGATATTTTTTTCTGTTTTTCCACTGAGAGACGCAAGAGTGCCTCAGATTAATATCCATGCCGATATTTGTTAATATTTGATGATGAACCTAATATTTTCCCAAATTGGACTAACAAAATTTCATCAGAAACCATTCTAACACCATGCCATTGCATTTGCCTGGCTCACCATTATGCAAAAAAAACAAAACGTAAATGATTCACCTGAGACCATGGTGATTTACATGTGTAGTGAATGGTTTTGTTCAAAACCCTTTAGCATTTAGCAAACAGTGGTTATGGTCTATGACGGAACAGTGATAGCCCTGTTGTTTTTAACTCTTATAATTGACAAAACGTATTTGTAAAACATAAAGGAAATCAACAAGTTTGCTGTATAGATCTATATTTTGCAAAATGAGTTTTAGCCCATTAAATACCAGGTTTTTTGATGATTTAAATGGGAATAGCTGTAAATAAGATAGTGCCAGAACAGTCATATACAGTCAAAAGAAGCATGATATAAGTCATAATTCAATTAAGATGGTTTACATTCACTTGTCTATCCAAAATTGTGAGAAAATCAAACTATCTTTTTCCAGCTGCCTATTGCTGGCAAATGGATTGGAACTTGATTTATTGGAAAAGAAGCTGCTGTATGTAATTGTCTTAAAACTTATAACATTATAACTTCCTGAATTTTAGAAGAGAAATAATTTGTATTAACAAGGCTTTTCTGTAGGAGCTGCTTACTTAAGTTAGGTTGTGTAGTTTCAGTAGTTGATTCTGAAAGCCAGACACATATTGATGGATAGGAGTACTTGTTTTATTCTACATTTTAAAGAGTCATCAGTACAGTTATATAATTCCTGATCTCTATCATGTGGCAAACACAATACAGTCACAAGACTCCCACTGTCAACTGTGATAATCAGGGCACAACCATTGTAGAGAAAATCTGGGAGTGGGAAAAAATCCTGATTCCCGAGTTCTCTCATTGGGAGGGAAAGCCTGTGGAAATGACTGGCTGCTCGTTGGTTAGGGAGATGCCAAATGCATCGCAGTATAGATGGGTAAGGTGGTCCTGGAGAAGAGGATTGCTTGAGAGATGCTGGCTAAAGGGAGTTTCCCTGAGTTGCACAGCGGTCAGATCAAACCAGGGGAAAGGCCTGAGGTGAAAAAAAATATTGTTACTTTTTTATGTCTGTTCAGTATATCTGATTTGGCTGTTA